TACATGCATGTATGCATGCACGCATGCATGCACACATGCATGTATGTATGCATGCATGTATAGTTGTATGTATGTATGTATGTATGTATGTATGTATGTATGTATGGAAGTATGGATGTATGGATGTATGGATGTATGGATGTATCTATGTATGGATGTATGGATGTATGGATGTATGGATGCATGGATGTATGTATGTATGTATGTATGTATGTATGTACGTATGTATGTATGTATGTGTGTATGCATGCATGTATGTGTGTACGAGTGGATTTGTTTTGTTGTTTGGCAAAGAAGTCATGTACTGATGAAGTTTTGTGTTATAAAATGTCATGTGGTGGCATGTGGTGTTGTGATGTGTTTGGCTGTATTGTGCTGTGCTGCACTACGCTATGACGCCAGCGTAGATCCCAATACACTAATGACTAGTGGTACCACAGACCAAGATGCACCAGGACCACAAGCACGACAACTAGTCGACCAAGACGAGCACGGCCACAGCGAGGAGACCAATTGGAGACTGCCAGGAGACCACCAGGAGACTTGAGGAGACTTTCCTGAAATAATGGCAGGAGATACACAATCAGAGCACCGGGGAGCATTGGGAAACCCAGCCGGAAAGCCTCTACAACGATAGACTATGAGGAGACCAGCAATTGACCAGGAGACCGTGACCAACCTGCTTCCGGGAGTCAGGAGCCCAGGAGCACGGCCAGCGGATGCAAGAGCACGACCCGCTTTCCCCCAAGTTGTGGCGGGATGCAGAGAACGCTTTCCCTCAAGTCGTGACGCCGACGCATTGGAATTAACAATGGATCTGGCTTTCCGGCGGACGTGGCCGCACGGATCCTGTGTAAAATGAATGGACGTGAGGACAGCGGGAACGGCGTCCGGGGAACCTCAAGCGAGCGGCTGCCTTAACCGGTTCTATTTGCTCCCAATGTAATAACCCAATCTTGTGCACCGCACCTATGAGGAACACATGTAGACCCGCTTTACTAGACCTGCCGATGACCACGAATGCCAGCAGTCGGAACAACGACTCTAGCAGACCAATTATGGCACCTCCGAGCAGTATAATGAGCGAAGGAGACAGGTTTACACACCTCAAGACGCAGCGTTTCCTACACCTAAGTTTCCATACCTGACATACTCAGACTACCCCCTGGCGCGGGCAGCCGCCGCTGCCGCACTGGGACAGCTGGGCTTTGGGCTCGGATGGCGAAGTAAGGGTGAGGTAAGACACGGGTAATCGCCGTCTTTAAAGCACGAGGCATACCATTCTGCATGGTTGGTCCTCGTTGTCGCTGAACAATGCATGATTCCTACGCAGCGATAATGGTTATCACTGTTAGCACAGGAGTCGATGCCGGTCGGGCAACAGTAGAAATCGCGAGGATGACCGCATAGACACCCTCAATAGCCGAGCAGTTTCTTCTCTCGGATGAGTAGCAGATTGGGAGATGAAGGCTTCTGCATTCAGTGGGCCAGTGGCACAAGTACGGGTGGATTCAAGGGTATGGTATCGAATGTTGCAGATGTTCTGGTGCTGCTGGCATCTGGGACTCTGGCATTTGGAACCCTGCGAGACGGTTTGCGGTCCTGGGTTTTCGGGTGTGGGGCTCCCAGAGAGCCCAATACCCCTTAATTAAGGAATATACCTTAAATCATAATATTAAGGCCCCTATAATTTAAGGTATATTCCTTATTTTAGGGGTATTGGGCTCTCTGGGCTGGAGTCTGTGTAACGAGGCTTTTTCGAGATCTGCTGTTGGGAACCTGAATACGGTAGGGTTCTGCGGACCTCGAAGACCGTACTTGGAGGATCATGGGACTTAGTAAGTAAGGTTATAGGTACCCTAATTGGGGTTATAATTCTAGTTACCTTATTTATAACCCTAGTTACTAAGTCCCATGATCCTCCAAGTACTCATGAACCGCCCCCAGCTTTGGAACCAACAGAGGCGCCAGAGGCCTGAAGACATGGCGGCGTGTACTTGGAGGACCATGGGATTTAGTAACCAGGGTTAAATAAGCCAACTATAATCATAACCCCAATTAGGGATAATTAGGGTACTTATAACCTTACTTACTAAGTCCCATGATCCTCCAAATAGGGCGGTAGCACCGAAGGTTTGGCGTCAGAAAACGAGAGGTCACCCTGCACGAGTTCAAGAACCGAAGCAACCCTGAACCCCTAAACCCTAAACCCTAAACCTTAAACCCCCTGGAGTGCCTACAGAGAGCTCAAGCGTGAACATAACAAACGCAACTGGTGGGGGCGCCTACTTGAACACAAGTCTGCTCTAACGGTTGGCAAGGATGTGGAACACCACTTGGAAAACAAACTACGTGATGTGACGTTGGACTGGCATGCTGAACTGCAACACCGCGTTCATGAACTCGGATGTCCAGTCAATGACTTTGTGCCAATTCAGCCTTCGGAAGTTGGTGCAGCGTTGGCTCCGATGCGTGCCAGTGCAGCCTTAGGCCCTGACCGTATTGGGGTGGATCTCCTTCGATGTCTACACGTACACTCCCCAATGGCACTGACACGACTCTTCAACGAAGTCCTCTTCTCCGGGGAGCTACCGTCAGATTGGGGTGTTTCGCTGCTTGCACTTCTCCCCAAGACGAAGTGGCCGGCTGGAGTTTCCGAACTTAGGCCCATAGCTATGTCGTCGGCGGCCATGAAAGCTATGTCGCGCATCATCATGGCGCGCTCGTTTGACGCCATCAGACACCCGTCACCTTGGTCGTGCGCTGGCCGTGGAAGAGGATGTGCTGATATGCATGGCGCAATGGGTCGTTTACGAGATATGACACGTGAGTGGAGATTGGGTGTTCTCGCTGTCAAGCTCGACATTAAGGGTGCTTTTGACAACATTAGCCGTGCCGCAGTTGCCGACTACCTGACTCAAAAGGTCAAAGAGCCGTTCGAGCTACGCTTCCTCCTGCAGTTGTTGGCGGACAATGTCCTTGTGGGGTGTGCACCTGGGGGGGCCTCTGTGCATCTTCAGAGTAACCGTGGTATCCGCCAGGGCTCTCCCGAGTCTGCTGAGCTTTTTGGTCTCATTGTGTCCCAGATCATCACTGAGCTCAAGGATGGCATACTTTGGAAAAAACCAGGTCCCCCGATAGCTGACATTCCGGCAGATGTGGGATGTTACCAAGATGACATCTTCGTTTGGGGTGAGAACCCGAGATGGATTTCGCATAACATCAAGCTCATCGCGTCGGAGCTCTCCAAGATTGGGCTCTCGCTGGCATGTGAGAAAACTGCGGTGATCTCCTCCAAGTACTACAAGGGTGTGCGATATTTGGACGTTGCCGGCAAACGTGTTGACTTTCTACCTGCTGGCAGCTCACTCAGGGTTCTTGGGCTCGACTTTGACCTTGATGCTCCTGCGCATCAACAGGCGAAAGAAATCATGGGGAGAGTCTGGTCTGCCTTCCATAGCAATAAGACCGTTCTCTGTGGTGTTGGTTCACGTCGAGAAAAAGCGTCAATGGTGTGTAAGCTCATTGACGGATGTTGGAGTTGGTGTGCGGGAGCCCTACATTGGGAAGCAGCGGATCTCGTGGCGATGAACTCCATCCAGCTCCGCATCTTCCGCTTGTGCTTCGGGTGTAAACGACTTGCTCGTGAAGACTGGGTGTCGTACAATTCTCGTTCTCTCCGTGAAGTCCGTCTTTGGCTCCAGCAGAGTGGCATTGAGCGATGGAGTACTAAAATCGTACGACTGCAGTTTCAGATCATGGGTCACTGGGCTCGTCGTTGGGAAGGGGACGTTAAGTGCTTGCCCATGAATATGCACAGTTGGCGGGACTTGGGGCGGTGGCAACATGAGCAACAAATTCAGCCCAAAGCAGGGGGAGCGCGACATCCGAGGTGTTTTCGTGCCGCAAACATCGAGAGATCCTTCGCTTGCGCACTGGGTGTTCAATGGCAACGTGCCTGTGCTAATCGTGATGGGTGGAAACAACTTTTGCCAATGCTGCTCAAACATGCCGACGTTCCCTGGTGTCGTGAACGTCAGCCTGCACTCTGCTACTAGAGGGATGTGCTGACTAGGTTGTCGTGCCTGAGATCTGCTACAGTATGTGAAGCTCCTTGCTGAGAATGTGGTGGAAATTGGGTGTGTGCAGCTTGGCTCCAGCGTGACTTTGCTGACATGTACATCTTGACTTGCATGTTCGAAGGATATTTAAAAGCATATTGGATGTGTGACAACTTCTCCATGTACTTTGTGTAGCTTCTCCCTTTTGGTAGCCGTACAAGATCCTCGTGCAAACAATGGTGCGCCGGGGACGATGCCTCTTTTCTGCTGCCCTTCTTGGGTTTGCCTTCGGCTTGATGTCCGGTTTTGCTACGCCTACGGACACCACTGCTGGGGTGTCTGAGTCGGAACCCTCTTTCAGTGCGCCTCCGACGACCTCCTCTACGAGCGCTACTACCAGTGCAGATGATACACAACACCGGGGTGTGGATGCGACATGCCCTTCGTCCTCCTCTTCCTTGGATGCTGCTGGGGATGGTGACGATGCACAGGCTGGGTGTACGACTTCTACATGTTCGCTGGGGACGTGTTCTACATGGCAGACCGTCGGTTGTGCTTCCGCGTGTTCGACTTCTGCCTGCGCTTCAAGTTCGGCGACCTCACCTACGTGCAGCTCTACCACGACGACCAGCTCTTCTGTGGATGCGGACGGTTATGACACACAACCGCATCCTGAACCATACCCGGAGGATGTAGCCAATGCTTGGAACACAAATGGTTGGAGCCGTCCGATGTCGTCTGGGACCACACCTCCATGGGGTGAACAATGGCCGTCCTATACATGGCAACAAGGGTGGCAAGACTATCCTGCTTGGCAAGATGGTACTCAAAGCTGGAACTCTCCACATCATGCTTGGCCAGATACCGCGCAAGCCTGGAGTCCTCATGCTGCATCGGAAAGGGTGTATCCGGAGTGGCGTGCTTCGTCTGAGTGGCAATGGCATTCGGATCAACAGCCCTTCAATTGGTACCGCTATCCTTGGGGTGGTGAACCTAGCCGAGCTGCCGCCGCCCCGTCACGTCCACGCAACGTGCCAAGGAATCATGAAGGTGAACGGTATGTACGTGGGCGTCCCGCTGACCGTGGTCCACCTGAGGGACGTGCACCTGACCGCCAAGCTCACTCCACAAGCCGTCAACATAATGAACCACGTGATGGACATCAACATCCCAGCGGACGGGGTGGCACATCTACCTCCTCTTCTTCGACTTCAGCCAGACCTGGCAGTTCTGGTTTTTGGCATAGGGGTGTTTGGGTTGATAGACCTCGTACAGCCTCTGAGGAACGACGACACCGGGGTGGTCAAGGCCCTGTCCGCACCCAAAGACGCCAGGGTCGTATTGATCAATGGCAGGACGGTAGTTTTCGCCCTGCTGTATTCCATCGGGGTGTTGATCGTACAGGTCCAAAAGCTGCTGCAGACCGTGCTCTTTTTCGTGATCTACTTGGGCCGGTTGAAAACACGCATCCTGAGCGCTGGACGTCGAGACAATGGGCAGATTGGGACAGATGGGCGTCAGCTGTGGAACTGGTCGTTGACTGGAGTCGCTCTGGGGTGCCAAGGGAAGATGATTGGTACTTCATGCCAGAGGATGAGGATGACGTTGGCCTTATCCAAACCATGGGGATGTCTACTCTGACGGAGGTGGAGGATGTGATGCTCGTCCAGCTGACTGTAGAGGAGGAGGAACTCTTAGCTGACCTACATGTCCCTGATGAAGTTCGTCGTGATATCCGTGACATGTTACGTACCCTCAACACGCACACCATGAATGATGAAGGACCGGAATATCGATGGGGTCTCCTTGAATGGTTGGAAGCTTGGGAAACTGGGTGTATTCATATGGATAGGGTCACTGACTGTCTTCGTCGCCGTGTCAGTGCTAGGGATGTACCATACTATCCTGTTGTCCGAGAGCCTCGTGCTGCTGCCCAGAGGGTCCGCTCACTTCAGTGGAGCAGACAGTGGTCTCGAGTGATGGTGTCGCTGATGGAAGGGTTGGTTGATAATGCGATGGTGCAGCACATTGACAGGGTGGCCACTCAAGTTGGGGCGCCTACAGGTCGTCGTGCTCCTTCCCGCTCTCGGACGCGCTCACCGCCTAGGGATGTGGCCAGTTCCAGCGCGTCCTCTCTACCGGTGCGGCGTGTTCCACGTGTCACAGGTAGGGATAGTATGAGGGCAAACACGGAGGAGGTTGTGACTGAGCAGGCCATGGTTGTTGCAGTTGCAGGAACGGTTGTGGATGCTGCCTCTAGTTCTGCTGACGTTGTGGCTGGCAGTAGCAATGATGCAGAGGATGTAACATCGGCTTTGTCTTCCACTCCAAGTTCTGGATCTGGTGCCGTCTCAGGAACGATGCCGCGAGAGTCACGACCTGATTCTCAGGATGGTGTCAGCTTTGTGCAGCGTCTACAGCCGGATGAGGCGCAAACCCTTGCCAACATGGGTGTCCGTCGTGACACTATCACGGCCTTGGGGCGTTTCCTTGGTGAACTTGCGCGTGCAGGTGAAGGTCATGCGACAGGAGATGTTGCTCGCGGTGACGTTGAGTGGGCCATGCGGGTTGTTGACCTTGCCATGCAAAGATGTATTGAGGTTCAGGATGTGATCAACAGTCTGCTGATTCGTCGTCTTCAAGGTGGAGACTGCGTACTTCCTGATGCTGATAGTCGTGGGGGTGTTTGTCAAGTTGGGCATCCTTTTGTGGTTGCCCTTGCGCGGACCTATCTTGATGGTCTGCGTGAAGCTCTTGCCGATGCTTGGGTGGATCCGGACACACTTCCGGAGGAGCTCAGACGCTTTCCACCTAATCAGGAATACTTTGCCAGTGACAATGATGAGGAGGGTGGATATGGTGATGGTTTGGGTGGTAACAGTGCTGTGCCTGTAGACCGTGATCAAGCTCGAGCCTCTACGGATCCTGCGCCGCGCCGGGCTCGGTCCCGCAGTGCACGTCGTGATGACACAGGCAGGGATGTCCACGTGGAAACTGTTGCGGCAGTTCCGGCTGGCACCGCTGTGTCTACTTTGACGGATGATGCTGCTGTGCCTGGTGATACTACGGATGGGGTCGTACCTGTCGCTGGACCCCCTCCTGTTGGAGGGACGGATGTTGACAACACGGTGGATGTTGAGACCCAGTCGCTTATGCAACGCATGCCTGTACTCTCTGATCCCGAACGTGACCAACTTCTTCAGTCAGGGTGGACACATGACTCTATCGGTGAGCTTGGGGCGCTCCTTGACCGTATGCATGAGGACGCTCTTGGATGTACACATTCTGAACGTGTTTGGATGTTGGGTGTGGTACGCTCCTTTGTGCATGGTCAGCAAGAAATGTCGCGTGCTTTTGGCTCCGTGCTTGGACTACGGGCAGTCTTAGTGGACGGCGCTCCTGCTCCTCTACCTCCGGCTGAGACTCGCAGTGCATTTGTTGCAGGGTGTGGAAGACTCTTCCGTGCCATGCACATGGCACACTGGCGACGGGTGGTAGATCTCATGGACGACGTTGTACTATATCCTGAACTTCTTCCGGTTGAGCTTCAAGGAACAGTTGGCAGTCAGAATATGACATCACAAGGATCTGGGGATGTTTCCAGACGCGTGGCGGATGGAGGTCAACCATCTCCTGGTGCCATGGGTGGACCACCTGATGGTGATCCTTTGGCTGTTTGTCCTCATGACCCTTCAGGAATTTGTCATGGTGCACAACAACATGAAGCAGCCGTGGGTGTGTCGATTGATGCAGTCTTTTCGGGCTTGCAGGATGTCAGTCCTCTACCTCCGGGTTGTGATGCGAGCCTTGAGATTCGTGCATCTGATCCTCTTGGATGTGACGCTGATGGTGACGCTTCGGATGTCTCCTTGCACTCGGGAGATGAGGGTGCCGGCAATGTTCTTGCTCTCCATGAGTTGGGTGTTGACACCGTTGATGAACGTCGTCAGTCAGAAGCTGAGATGAGGTGTGAGGGTGTGCATAGTTCTGAGTGCAGCTTGGATGTTGCATCTTTTGCGACTGTTGAGGGTGTTAGGCCGTTGGCAGATAGTCGGCAGAGTGATCCAATACAGTCCGGATCAAGGGCAGTTTGAAGTTTCACTCACAGTGGAAGCCTACATGGCAGCGCAGTCAAAGGCGT